CAATTCTTCTGTGAGAGTCCTGCTGATCTAAAATTGGCCTGTGCAGACACATCCCTCAATGACCGAGTTGATTTCACTCTGGGCTTCATCTTTCTCCTGGTACCCCTTTACTTCATTCCAACCTATTATATTCGCATCATTGCCACCATCTTGAGAATCATTTCAAAGCAGGGTCAACTCTAGGCCTTCTCCACCTGTGTCTCCCACATCACTGTGGTAATCATGTTCTGTGAACCTGCCATGTTTATGTACATGAACCCTGGGGCCGATGCCTCCCCAGAGCGGGACAAGAAACTGGCTCTGTTCTACAATGTCATCTCTGCCTTTCTCAACCCCTATAACATCATCTATAGCCTCAGAAACAAAGATGTGAGGAGGGCTTTCCTCAAGTTAATAGGCTGGGGCAGGGTCTCTGAGTGAGGCCACTGGAGCACAGAAGGCCACAACCAGACCTAAAACTACATGTTCCATGGTATTTCCACCCCATTTCCTCCCATAACCGGATGGACAGGTAAAAATAATTGACTTCTATTTGAGGAGGTGTAAAGGTGGGTACCTGTCTGCTACTTGTTGATGGCTTCTGCAGCTGGGCTATCCTCAAACATCAAGAGACCCAACTGTAGACAGAGTGCCAAGAAAGAACTTGCGTTTGATTCAAACTATTAGTCTTCTTTCTGATTAACGTTAAGCCTCTTTAGCATCAGAATTGTTGAGCCTTCATTAACTAAGAGCGCTCAATAAAAGTGATGATTCAGACGGACATGATACAGATTCAATCCAGCCAGATGTCAGTGAAGTGCTGTGAACTCAATAAGGAATTAATGATGATTGTGGTATTGGTGGCATTGTGATGATTATAACTTGTATGAGGAAGGATTTTATTTGACTTCACATTTCACATCTGGTTTTACATTTGCTTAACAAGCTTTGGAATGTAATAAGGAAGGGGTTTTAGGAAAGATGCTGAGGTATTGGGAGAGAGAGCTGGCAGGAGCCATACAGAAAGATTAGCAGGATGCACCAAGTCCCCACGTCAAAAGGGCATAGGTAAGGGTAGTAGAAACATTATAAGAGTTGATCGCGTATCTAGACTACATCAAGATAGTAGTGCAATGGAAAGAGATGGAGGACAAAGGGAAGGTTTGGGATATGCCTTATTTTTAGGAAACAATTTCAGAGAGAAACCTCTATGAAGAGGAGATGATGCTCATTATGGAAAGGAACATATGACATAGATGAAGCCCGAGGACTGAAAATTTGGGGTAGTAGCCACCAGAGATAGAATACACAAAACAGGGTTGATATCTCAGCCCCTTCATTTACTAACTGTGGGCTTAGGATATGACTCCCTAAGCACCCTGAACATGAGTTTTCTGAGCTTCAGTTTTTCTCTTTGGTAAAATGGAGATAATAATACTTCTTTCCAAGGGTTAGAGAGACTATAACTGTTTTTGTCCAATAAGGAGATAGAAACTACTCAGTGAGTTAAACAAGGGAGATTTAATATAAAGAAATATTAACTATGCTGAGAGAAACTATAAGACATAAAGAAACACTATGTGGTACCCGAGGGCCAAGGGATAGTAGTCAAGTTAGGACAGACCTGAGAGGGATTCAGACCTCATTGGAGAAAGTGTGTTCCACGTGAAAGGCAGATGATTTCACAGGTTTGGCAAAGCCAGAGTTCCTCTGAAGTTGCGAACTATAGGCCATCTTCCAGAGTTTAGGTAAGGGAGCTGGCAATTAGCAAACAGTGGTATGAACATACAGTTAGATGTTGCGTGCTAATGGGACAGAAAGCCTCCATAGTACATGTGTTTGCAGATGGAATAACTTCTCATTCTGTGACCCTGAAGACTACAGGTGCTGTATGCATGCTGGTAGAGGCTTGGTGCAAGTGCACAAGGTGGCTGCATCCAGATCACGCCAGGGCTTCTGGAGAGATTCAGTCATTGTGGAGCTCTGGTTTCCATGATGGGACGGCACCAGACTGAGATTCCAAGGTCATTAGGCCTTCTGGGTCGCAAGTGGCCCAGGCTGGAAAATTCAGGGAACCTCATTCTTCCTGCAGTGTCCCTCCAGGCCTTCTAAGAAAGTTTAGCATCATGCTCACTTAAAGGAGAAATATTTACGGGAATTTTGTTGTTTATTAGATAGCATAGATTGAAAGCTGCATTCGGAACCGAGAGGTAATATATGGTAACTGATACAGTCCAGACTTTCAGGTAATCAGCTTCCATATGCATCCCTCTATGAACATTCAAACTCCTTTACAACAAACAAAACTCGATATTTTTACCTAACAATATACATCTCTCCTTATAAGTGAAGGAGATCATAGACTATATTAATTACTCCTCAAATTCAACCACAATCTCACTGAATAGTCTGTTACCTGAAAACAATATTATAATGTTAGCATCCAATATGTATTGAATATCTTTTAAATGGTGATAAGAAATAAGAGAATGATTATGTACAATAAACATATGTAAATTACAAGCAAAGAATTCAGTTCTTCTTTCCCTTCTTCTTTGTCAGCTTCAGCACCATAATCAGCGACTTCCCCTCCAAACATCCTTAACCTGGAATTCTCCCTGAGAACACCACAACCCTGCAATTCTCTAAAAGAGTGATTCTCTTTTCTCACTTTGGGACTGTGAGTCCCTGACATTCTCATTCCCAATGACCTTTGCTCCCATCTCCTTTCCAGTCACCTCAAGTCACAACCACAGTGGAGTTTGTCATCCCTAAAACTGCACCACTCCCATAAGAAGAACCCACGCATTCCCACTGAACTTAGAGTGCATTTTCTTATAGGGCTCTTCTTATGGGGCCCTTATTATGACCACATGACTCTTCTTCCAGGTCCATGGACAATGGAATCCTCATTTGATGTGGGGCCTTTGTGCCTGCTGTCCCCTTTCCTGAAATGCCCTTCTCCTGGCTATTTGAACAGGTGACTCCATCTCATCCTCAGGCATCAGATAAATCTTCTTCCATCACAAGGGTCTACCTGTCAGCTCTCAATAAGTAGATTTCTCTCCTCCATTTTTCTCTATCATATAGTGTTTATTTCCTCACAATTCTGCAGCTTGGTTTTTTAATGATTAAACTTAATTTCTATTTTAGGCTATTATTCCACTGGTGGGAGTAATAATTTAATCTTCTTGGGTTTTCCTCCTCCTCTCTCTTACTCCAACTTTGAGAGGGCTTACAAAGTACTAAGGTGTGCAGTGGTGGGTAGGAGTGGGTGAGATATAACCTGGTCTTCTGCATCTGACACCCACTGAGGGAACTTCACTGCTGTGAGGTCGTCGGTCACCACAGATCACTGGATTCTGGATTACAGTTTCATGACCGTAAATTTCTCCACATATCTCTCCTGGTTTCCATGGGGCCTGACACTGGCTGGGCCATATATGCATAAGAAATGCTGAAACTAAATTGACTTATCCCCAAGACCTCTGGGCCTCAGAGGCCTGAAAGAGAGCTACATGTCTATGCTAACTCTGAGGCTCTGTGCCAGGATTCTTAGAGAACTCCATATGTCATTTAGATCCCTTGGAATAATGAGTCACTGCTATATGTGCTGCCCATATGGTTTACAGATGGGCAACACACATACAACAACCCTTATTTTTCTGTGGTTTATTTATTCACCTTACGGTTTACAGAGGATTTACAAGTTTATTGCAATTTCATGCACTCCACCTACCAGAGTATAGAAGTTTGGAGACACAGAGACCATTAAATTTAAAGTGCTCATTTTATAGAAGAATAAAGTAAGATCCAGATAAAGGAAGTAAGTTTTCCTAAGTCACAAAACAAGTTAGCAAGCATGGCCTAGAAACCAGGTCACTTATTATTAGGTTCCGTGTCCTTATACAATACAATGCAGAGTACACTGTGTTAGCTCTATGACCCGCATTAGTTCCATGCATCATGTCAGGTCTGTGAGCTGCATTGTTTCCATATACCATTGTCTAATTTTCAATATTGTCTACAGATATTTATTGTTTACATGTACCACTTTGAGTGCCTGCATCATCTTGGTCTTCTTCTGTGCCATGTACTATGTCACTTACAGTTACCATGGTTCATGTGGATTACATGTATTCTTTTGGTTCTAGTGCCATTATGTTAAATTATGTTGTCGACTTCATTATTTACTGCTCTTGCTGTAAAGGGATTATATATCCATAACCATTGCCACGTGATTTGCATTACTTTTCTTTGGGTAAAAAGATACTTCCTCCCCTTTTGCCATTAGGCTTGACCATGTGACTTGCTTTGGCCAATAGAATATAAGCAAAGAGATGTGTGTCAATTCTAAGCAGAAACTTTAAGAGTCATCATGTATGTTCTTTTTCCTCAGTCCTAAGAATGGCATATTTCATATAGGGCCTCGCCCTTCAGGTTGAACTCAAGAATCCAATAGCAGAAGGCCACGGGACACCTACCACTGACATGGAACATAAGCAGTAAAAGATCTTTTGCTGCTGTAGGCCACTGCACCACAGTGTAGCAAACTGACCAAGACAGCCACATTGGTTTTATGTGCCACATTTGTTCTACTGAACAAGCACTATGTTGGTTGTGTACACTATAGATGTTGTCCCTTTCTTCAGCATTGGACGTTCTATCCCAGGCCTGTCCTGGTTCCTAGTTTACAGGTTCATGCTACCCTGCCCGATCACTTTGAAAAAAGCCACTTTGATGTCCTTGTTCCTCAGACTATAGACCAAAGGGTTGAGCAGGACATTGAAGACATTGTAAAAGAGTGTTATATGTTTATTTTGCTCAGGGGAAGAGCTAGAGTTGGGCCTCATGTAGATGTATGTGGCAGGAGTATAAGAGAGCGTGACCACAGTCAGGTGGGAAGCACAGGTGGAGAAAGCCTTGCAGCGGCCTTGTGTGGACTTAATCTTGAGAATGGCCTGGCCAATGCGGATGTAAGAGGCAAAAATGAGGGAAAGTGGGGCAACAACTATGAGCACACTTATAACCTGGTCCACCATCTCAATGAGATGGGTATCCATGCAAGCCAAGCTTCGTACCGAGGGGCCTTCACATAAGTAGTGGTTGACCACGTTGGGCCCACAGTATGGCAGCCTCATGGTGAAGAAAGTATGGATCAGAGAGAAGAAGAAACCACAGGCCCCGGCCCCAGCTGCCAGGCGTACACACAGACCCCAGCTGAGGATGACAGTATAATGCAGTGGGTGACAGATGGCTATGTATCGGTCATAAGCCATGACTACAAATAAAATGCATTCAGTCAAACCCAGGGCACAAAACATATACATCTGTAGCCAACAGCCAGCAAAGGAGATAGTCTGAGAATGAGCAAGAAGATGTACCAACATCTGGGGCATGGTGGTAGTGATGTAGCTCATGTCCAAAAGGGAGAGGATACAGAGGA